TTTATGATTCCCTGTTTAGATGTCTATTTGTAACATTTGAAGTCTATTAATTCTTTATTAGAAAAGTGCTCCAAAGGCCAGTGCTCCAATGGTGTAAAATTCCTTATGAATACAATCCTCAATGAACTCAACAAGTGTAGAAAAGATTAAGCACACAGTTCTTTCCATTTGAGCCACTGTGCACCAAACTTTTGCTATCTTCATATATACAGTATTAACATGATTTAAAAGTAAAAGGGGGGCTAGGCTTGCAAGCCAGAAGACTGAATAGATTACCCTGCAATGAACCTCAGAAACATTTCCCAATAATCTGCCACTTTCCAATTAAAGTTTTGATTCCCTGCTTCTCCTAGAAATATGAGTTCCAGTTCATTCACTTAACAACTACTGGAAAGTGGACTGGACTAGTGTGAAAACCTACTGCTTGTGCAGTCTGTACATACCAATGGCATCCTGGGATAAGTATTAGAGGCCAGTTTCTGTGTGCAGACATACATCTGAAAAGTTTGTAACTGAGTACAGGGATATAATCAGATTGTACAATCTACAATCTTGGCTTTGTCAGTAAAAAGCACTAGACTTCAAAGCTAATTTCTCTTGACTCGCCAAACAGTGGCTCGCTCGGCAGCTGGGTGTCAGAGTAGCAGCGCCGGAGGTGAGTGGAGCTCTTTGTCGTCTTCATGGCCATTTCATATGAGGGCGGTGCCTCCAGGTCCCAGTGAGGTGGCCTTCCTGGGCAGCTGATGACGGGGTCACTTGGGGGGAAGTCAAAGTCATTCTCGTGGTACCTGACCCACCGCATTCTGTCGAGTCTTCTGAAATAAAGGCACAAACCAGTTGAAAAAAATAGAATTAGAAGAAATTTTGCCCACTGATGAAGCCATTAGAATAACTGCATGGCTTAAGGTTAATCTCAATTTCCCTTCAGGATCAATAAAGTCTTATATATTTATCTAAGGTCTGTATAAACTAAAATACCTTATAGTTTTAAAGACACTTCAAACCACCAGGTTAATCCTAAAATCAAACTCTAAGTATCAGAGATACTAAACTATAAGTAATTCTGTACAAGTATTCTTCAAGTATTAAAAGCAGAACTGCAGGTCAGAACATTAACTGATCCATAGTCAGTGTCAATGTAGAAGCACTCTGTTCTGAACTGTGGTTGTTTTACACACTACTGAACTTGGGATGAAAAGCTTCCTTTTCAGTTTGGAGACCCTGTCTTTGAGGACCCTCACTTTGAGTAAAAGCAGAATATTTCTAATAATTGATAGAACATTTTATGAATGCAAATTTTAATCTGGTTTTAATATAAAGTCATGCAAATATTTAAATATGAACAAACTTTGTACTTAAAATGGCATTTAAACAGTTTTAGTCTGTGTTGTAATGCAGTGGTTCAACACTTCATGAGAATACTCATAAAAGAAAAATATTTTTGCAATGGTCTAACTTTAAATATGTAATATTAAATAGTGCTAATGAAATGCAGGTGTTTTATTTTAGTATATAGACTGATACTGAACAAGTAAACAATATAAGGAAGGCAATAAATAACTCAGAATGACTATTGTTTTCTTTTCATTCCAGCATGGATTGTTCTCCTAACTCTGAAATTAGTAGCTTATTTCAATCAATGACTTAAATGAGTTGGGTTGTCATTTGTTTTTCATTTTACAAAATGTTCTTATCTCATGTAAACACTTTGCTCCTTGGATTATTGCAGTCATGCTGTTGAGATTTAATCTTTAACAGAAGCACCCTAACATGGGGCTTAGAAATCCATCCATTTGCTGCTTCATCCGAAAAAGGCATGGGCAAGCCTGATCAAGCAACAGGCACAGGGTGGGATACACCCTGGTGGACATGCCCGTCCAGCAAAGGGCACACATGCACACACAAGGGACAATTTTAGGAGACATTTAACCCACAAGTTTATATTTTGTGTTGTCTTGGCTTTAATAACAATATTAAAATAGGCTATGAAAAAAGTCTGTAACACACACAAATTGTACCACAGGAACAGGTTCTTGTGAACAACCAAACTGTACACAGATTGAGTGGGTGCTATTATTTTTCACCACAGTTTGTGTCAGTGGCTTGATGTATGTGTGTTTTCCATTATTTTAGAATTTTATTTAAAAGTACATTTTTACTTTTTACTCACTGTCCAGGAAAGGTCTGTTTAAAAAAGGCAGGGAAAATAAAAGGGGATGGCTAATACTTAAATGTGCCATGTATATTATCATGTAGTTTACTGGAAAAATCCCCAAAACATTGTTTACATATTAACAATGTTGTAAACATTGTTTACATGTTACAAGAACCACTTGACTAGATACTACGTTTGCCTCCTGGTTTATTTTAAATGGATTGTGCTTGGTTTTTTTATGTTAAAACCTTACTGGCATTGCTGTATCATGAGCAAGATAGTGAAACATTTCTACCCTCATCTATGGCAGTGGGGGATTTTCATGCCTACACACTTTTTAACAAGTTCAGGTGAAATCTGTGCTTACACTAACATTTAGGCACTAAGTTCATAAGCATTCTCCTTGAAAATGTCTGCGTGTAATCATAGCTGTTGTCTGTAGTAATGTGTTCCCTTTGGTCTAATTGTACAATACTGATGTTGCAGACCAGGGGTAGGCAAGTGTCAAGTGTCACTTTCTGGAGGTTTTAGAAGCAGTTCTCAATAAGAACATAAAGGTTACAAAGGGGGGTAGATAATTCAGCCCATCTAGCCCTACTTCTTTGGTGGTTAATTGATCCAAGGATCTCATCCAGCTGAAGAAGGCTAGGAGATCACCTTCAACAAACATGGCCTGGTAGCTTGTACCATACTCCCAATTAGTATCTAAATAGGGCCTCTTTAAAATATTATTTTTATTCTCACCAACTTGATTGGTTCAACTACGTCATTCATGATTGAGATGAAATAAAAACAAGAAAAATATTATTTTTTTTCACACCAACTTGATTGGTTCAACTACGTCATTCATGATTGAGATGAAATAAAAACAAGAAAGCGAATGCTGTTACAGCTTTCCTATGGAAATACAAACATGATGTTTTCATTGTGCCCACGCGATGGCAGCAGATCGTTTTTTTTAGAATGGTGAAGCGAAGATCTCTAAGTGGCGATCAGCCAAGGATCTTCAATCTTTTTCTTGTTTTTTCTTGTTCTAACTGAAACTACTAATCTACTGAGTCGATTATCGATCGTAAATTTGTACTGTAAACATTGGGTAAACACCCAAAAAGTAACGATGTCGAGATCCTTGTAAAAACAGAAGACTGTGGCTTTCCACCAGTTGGGTCAGTTTCTCCAATCAGCACATTTTACAGAGAAGAAGTCAATAGCATAAGAAAACGGTGCCCGGTCTGAGATATAACAAAACAATAAATTCCCTTTTACTTTTGTGGAATAAGAAAATATTAGGAGGGAAGTTAATCCTTTACGTCCTGTTCTTACATTACACATATTAGACACAATATTTCTGGAGGTGTGGCGGCATATAAACGCTTAGATTGAACTGAAACTGCTATAGTTAGATAAAATAAAATGCTGACATACCACTCGCATGCCACCCACCTTTGAAGCAAGACGGCCTGAGACTCCGGAATATGACTCCCAGATGGAGGGGTAAAGAGAACGTGGCCGTAATCGTTGGGAGAAATGCCGGGTCTGAGTTTTTCTTTCATGGCCCAAAACAGCCCCAGTATTAGGAGCATTGCCCCCATCACAACGCAACATAAACTGAAAGCGTGCAGCTTGTTCTGATTGGAGCCCAGGAAGGCAGTTGACCCCCCAGTAACAATAAGGAACACCCCGATGAAAATGGCTCCATGGTGTAAAGAAGGCATGTCAAACCCTCAGGTTTGTGGAGAACGAACTGCGGGAGTTACTCGCTGTTGAATGCGGGGCGCGGTCTGCAGGATTCCATGGGCGGCGGATTGGAAGAAAGTGCTGCTGTTCAGAACGCGGGACAGTTCCACACTGTCGCGCTCAGTTTGCCTTCACCTGTTAGCGAGCGATCGACAAAGTTATTCTCTTACAAGTGTAGGCACTGCTTTGGTTGTCTGAGCTGTGTGTCTCCTTCTCCGTAGATAGATCTTGGAATACAGGTGCTTGAAAAAATTGAGTTCGCAGCACAAAAACGTAGTTATCGTTTTCCTTTTTTAAAACGGGTTTTATAACGCTGATTGAAATTATCGATGAATTAAGATGAAGACTCATTTCCATCCAGACGACTTTCCTTTCTGATGCTTGTAGTTTATTTTTTTATATGAGACAATGTAACGTTACCTTATGTATCTGCGCTTTGCGATTCGCATATACAGAAAATTCTTTGCGCAATCATTTTGTGACCTCTGTGGAAGAAAAAAAAAGTTTTGCAGTGGACTCAGGAAACTCTTAACAAGGTGAAGGTGAATGCTTACAAGGCAAGTGTTGATTATGGTTTCTGCCGTGTGAATAGCAATATGTCTTCATCATGGGGGAGTATGTCAGCGCCCCGCCCTGGAGCGTGTTTTATCGGAAACTTTAAATTCTTTATTGCCCCTTTTAAACTGCAACTACATCTGGTCTACTCACTGGATACATTGACAAATGTATATGGAAAAATGCAGTACCATTAAGACTGTCAATAATATTTAGATTAATATATAATTCTTTAATTCTGTATATTCACTATATTTATGGCTGTGGTGTTCTTCATCAGAAATGTCAACATATTGACGTTTTCCATTGAGCAACCCCTTATCGCTGTCGTACTGGGATAATGCTGTCAGCGTACCTTGCCTGTTAATATTTTTTTAAGGGCGAGCAGCAGTTTCCCTGGGGTGAATGGTCTGACGGTCTTCTCCACTGCCATTGGTTAGCGCTTTCGTACGAACAGGCTCGACTCACAGAATTGGAGAAATCTTAGCCAATCAACGGAAGAAGGGGGCGGAGCGGGCTGTAAATTGTCAAAGCAATTGTCGGCTTGGAATATTTCTGCTCGAAAAGAGCTGCTTTATGTATGTTTTTATGTATGTTTTTATTGAGAGTAGAATTATTTCAAGATAAGGAAGACATTTGATATCTATCCGTTTATTTTTTGCTAAAGACAACAGTCGTTTATTTTTGACGAACCGCATGAGTGTTTCTGTGAACAAGCAGCGCTCCCTTTAGATTTGAAAATATCGAAAGGGAAAAAATAGATTATAACTTAAAGAATCAAAATGGACCCACTGCTGTATCTCGGTGGCATGGTGGCTTTATTCCTGTTGTGGGTGAAAATAAAGGGATTAGAATACGTCATAATTCATCAGAGGTGGATCTTTGTCTGTCTGTTTCTTTTGCCATTGTCCGTGATATTCGATGTGTACTACTATTTGCGAGCCTGGCTCATTTTCAGGATGTGCTCAGCTCCGAAACAGCACGACCAGCGCGTCCGGGACATTCAAAAGCAGGTAAGCTGCCGTCGCCAGGTGCAGTATTCATGTTTTGTAGTAACGCAACAAACTGGTTCTCTGTACAGTAACCGCACGTGGCGGTGGCCAGCGAGGTGGTAGTGCTGTCTTTGCAGTCAAGCATGTGTGAAATCGCTTTTTTCAGTCGGAAATGTGTACTGTCTACACAAAAGCTGGGGTTTGCAAATTTTGCCACACACTAAGTTGATAGTCCAAGTAGTAATGACATATATTTAAAAAAAATACTTTTTTGATTTTTAAATGCTATCCTTTTCAATACGTGTGAAAACACTGGCGCAATTCATAAACCTGAGTAGTAATTATTAGCTTTGAATGTTATTTTACGTCTTAGAAAACTGATATTGAGCAGTTACTCAATATATGTCAAAGTGGCCGAGGAGATCACGTTTAGAAAGGTGGGAGTTTGAATCCCGATAGATCAACAACCTGCAACTTTTGGGTCCACAGTTTTCACCTTTCTGTGTAGGGGGCAGGTAGGTCTAACGAAGGTGCAATGTGTGGGGCTAATGAAGACTTTACCTGCATTCAAGTATGGAAGAGCTGTCTTGAGGGATTGTGCGACAAGACAAGCTAAAGCTCTTTTATTAGCTTGGGCTATGCTGAAATATGAGTAATATAATTTTGTTTGAATTTAGAAATAAACCGAGGGTAAAAAGTTCCACCTGTAATAATATTTTTGTGTGAGAGCTGTGTATGTTGTTTTGCAGCCATTCTGTTCTGTATAATAGTAGCTTAATCAAATAAATAATCTCCTGAATATTATATATAATTAATTTATACGAGAGTTATGTCTGTTTCTTTTATATAACAGTTTTAATGTACAGTTAAAAAAAAACCAAGATGAAATAGAAAAGGTATTGTGCATTCTGAAGCACTTTTCCAACAGATTATTTGAAAGATTCCTTCTAATGTGTGGTAAAACACATTGGCAGAAAACAATAAATGTTTTTTTTGTGCTAGACCACATACAGTATGTGAAATCTTTCTTACCTGTATATATACTGATGGAAAAAAGAAACACAACATTTTCTGGAATGAGAATATTATGTACTTTCACAAAACGTTATCAATTTGTTTTAAGCCCTCTGACCAGCAATACAGCTTGTGCAGTGAGGCATTGCAACTTGCCAATCACACAAAAGCTCGTTAGGTGCACTTTTACCCAAACACGGTCCAGGTGGAACAATGCCTGATCAGGTCACCTTTAAAAAGGCCTTAATTCAAAGCTTAGGTCGCTGCAATAAGAAGGCCATACATAGCCAGTTTTCTGTGCATTACAAAATGCCTCGAATGTCACCAGAAGCAAGGAAGAGGGCCATTGGCATAGTATAGGTAGGCATGTCATGTGCCAGCGTTGCCAGACACTGTGGAGTAAGCTGCTTGACTGTGTTCCAACTGCAGAGAAGTTTTCAGCAGACCAGTAGGACAGATGACCGTCCAAGATCCGGTCGCCCTCAAGTGACCACACCAGAGCAGGACTGATACATCAGACTGCTCCATCTGAGAGATCGCTTTAGATCTGCCGCACGTAACTGCTGCTGAAACCGCTGGCAGACACAATGACCGCATCAGTGACAGGACAGTGAGGTTCCATGCTGCTGGCCTTGGAGCAAGGCAACTTATCAGAGGCCCTCTCCTAGATGTCACACTTGACTGGCTTGGGCCAGACAGAGGCTGCGATGGACTCATCAGCAGTGGCATCAGGTCCTCTTTACAGATGTGTCACTCTTCAGCTTATTCCACGCAGACGGAAGGAGGAGGTGTTGCATTTCTTTTTTCCATCAGTATATTTCTTTTATTACCGCTATATGAAAACATCCAAGGGTTTACTCAAGGGTAACAGGTGTTTTTTTCCTATTAGTAGCTACGAATCTGTCAAGTTATCAGAATGTAGTGCAGCCCAAACGCATTTCAGCTTATACATGGCAACGACACCAATCTCCTCTAAATACATAAAATAATAATCTAATTAAAAATTAGACTTTAAAAAAATCATCTAAAGCTTTCAATTTTGGTTCAAGTGAAAACCTTCCTTAGTAGCTTTGTGTTCTTCTGTTAAGTGCTATGAATAAAACACATTTTATGAATGGTACCATTAATTAAAATTAGGATAATGGAATTGACAAATGCAGTAGTTAGTGGGCAGAAGGATGCTGTCTCATTGAATAGCTGCATTGAATAGCTGATACCCACTGCTTTGGTAAGGTTTGTTTCTTATTAGGCTTTTACATTGTCTTCTTTTTCTGTTCTTTTTGTTTTCTTGCTCTATTTCTTGTTCACTTTCTTTTTTGTCCGATGTAAAGGTGTTCTGTCTTAAACATACAATTTTAGATCCTGTGTAAAATAATGTTATGCCATTTCCGGAAATGCTTGGCAATTTTTGAATGTAGTTTATCTATTTAATACAGTTATGTTACAGACAGCCACGAGTTTCTGGTAAACCCTACAAGCCATTCCTCTTTTCTTCCATTTTGGATGGAGATTCCTGTCTGCAGGAATAACCTTTTATTAAAACTGCTTAGGATCAGAGAATCTTTTGAATTTCCATTTTTCCTCTTGGGTCCTGGCTCCTTTCTTCCATGATAGAGCTGTGTTTCTCAGCCCCGTGCCATTAAATCCTGTGTCCTTTTATTCCTCTGTTGCAGCTCAGCTCTTACATAATGAGAACTATTTATCTTGTGTTGGTGTCATGCCCGACATCCCTCCCTAGAGGGGGCTCCACTACTCCTGTTATTATTTCTGTGATCAAGCTTCCCAGGTGTACCTTTTTAGGTTTATTTAAAGACTAGCTCCTCCAGTCATCGGGGCTCATCATTAGGGTAAGGATGTCGCAAGGTCCGCCTGGCACCAGGAAATCTTTATATTTTGATATAGAGCCATTCCCACCTTTGTCTGGGCACTTTTAACAGTATTAAGTATTATACATTGTTAATAGTATTAAGAGTATTTTGGACAGAATAAAAGGGAGCAACCATTTAGTGAGCATGTTAAGGAGAGTCATGTTTGCAAAAGCTTATTGGAATTTCATTGCAAAAATGCACCAGCAGAGCACATTTGATACCAAAGACCAGAAACATTAAAAACATATGAAAAGCATGTCAAGCAGCTCAGTTTAGTACAGTAAGTCAAAGTAATTAATAGTTCACCAAGACAAAGACACTTCATTTACTATAGTGTCCTGTGCGCTTACTGCAATTTGAAGTTATCCTGTCACATAATGGTCTTGTTGACAGGTTCGGGAGTGGAAGAAGGAAGGAGGCAAGACCTACATGTGTACTGGACGTCCCGGCTGGCTGACTGTCTCTCTCCGTGTTGGCAAGTACAAGAAGACCCACAAGAACATCATGATCAACCTCATGGACATCTTAGAAGTTGACACCAAGCGACAGGTGAGGGACATTCATTCCATCATCCTGTTTGGCCAGCATTGTATTTTATGCTCCTGCAGAGCCTGACCAAAATAAAAAGAGACCACAGAAGTAATGCTATATCCTTGCTTTTTGTAAGAGTGTCCCGTGTAAGTTGATAGCAGTGGGATAAGACAGAGTTATATCCGATGACTATCAGATCTTAGCTCTGAGGACTATACGCTTCAGAGACACCTCTGGATTGGAATATTGTCTCTGTCTTTTCCTGATAAAGTTTGAAAACTAAAGTGAGCCAGCTTTATTAAAAATGCTGATTTTTAAATGAGGGGTGTATGAATAAATGATTAGGTGATTGTTTATTGAAAAAAATGAATGTAGAATACTATTTTATATTTCCTGTGGTTATTATGAGCAATAATTGTAGATTTTCATGGTAGAATTTTTTTTTGCTAAAAACAGAACATTCTGTTACTGCACTTAAAAGAAAACACAAAGTTTAGTTTATTTTTTGCCTTGATAGAGTACAAAGTCTGTTGTTTATTTGTACACCATACCTGTATGTGTGAGGATTCAAGCTGTAGGTCTCAGTTCATTACAGCTGAAATAAATGCCCTGTGATAAGTTAAGAACAAAGCAGTAGCTCAATATTGTGTTTTGTGGAGAATGCACCTTTCATCTTTATGGTTGCAGAGAACAGTAAGGATAGATAGACAGGGTTTTTCTTTCATATAGATTGTGTTTCATGTAGAATGGATGTCCCTGGGTTGTTGAACTGTGACCACATTATAGTCTATGATCACTACATAGTGTTTACACAATTCTTGCAGTTCCACGTATTCGCTGTGATCATCTGGATTCAAAGTGCTAAAATCCTTTCAACAGACACTATCGCCATATGAGCTGGTCCTGGGCAGAGTGTCCCAATGAGGTGATGTTAATGTTACACTGCTCCATGTTGGCCTTGAGGTCAACTTTGTCTTCCTATATGGAATGTCTTAGGTGGTGGAAGACTTGTTTAGGGAGTCTGGAATGGGATATCTGAACAGCGTGGCCAGCCCAGCGATGCTGACGTTGCATGGAATTGCCTCAGTGCTCATTGCTCATTGTTTGCTGTTCACTGGCACTGGCATTAATGATGAAATTTTGCAGTGCTTTAACTTGTTTCAGTATGTTGTCCACCTCTCAGTTCTTAGATTAGGATCCATGGCAATTAACCTTAATGAGATACTTAAACTCCTTAGCCATGCTATGCCTTCATCATGTGTTGGTCTTCATGTTATAGGACTTCATTTGAACTGTCGCCTTGACTCATTGTTAATTCATTTTCATCTTCCTGGAATTGCTGTCATTCTGTCAAGCACAAAGGATTGTCTCATGCTGTTGATCAAATATGCGTACCTGAATACATTTCAAAGGACTGCAAACACAGTATTCGACCTTTTAAAATCTCAAAAATACCAAACAACATAGTGTTTACAAAGTGACAACAAAGCTCCTTAATTTTTAAAGAAATTCTTTCTACAAATGCTATATCTGTGTTTTTCCAAGTACTATTACACTATATGGATTGCTGGAATTCCTGATGATGACAGATAAAACAGAATGATGGAGCTCCATTCTACTCATTCTCTCTGTTGTTCTATATTTCTTTCTTCTTTTTCTGTAATCAACATTGTTCTGTATTTGTTGGATGTGTTGTTATGAGAATGTAAAGACATCCTCAGATGGCAGGTTTTATTAATACAAACAAAATTCAAAAGGATGGATTATCCTTTTTTTTTTCATTTTTATAAATATTCATAATCCACACTGTACTCTACTGTTTTGAATGTGTTTTTGACCGAATGAAATAGTGTTCAGGAATAAAAGTAACCCAGCTCCACTCTTATGCAACTGTAAAACTGAAACTAGAAAAAGTGTTACACATCAAATTTAGAATCCTGCCACCTCTTACGATATCTGAACAAAAGATCCATTTGAGTGTTACAGTGGGTTGTGTCTGTGTGTAGGAATCATTGTTTTTTCTCCCTACAGTATGTGTGTGCATCTTTCCCTCTAGGTGGTTCGTGTTGAGCCCCTTGTGAACATGGGTCAAGTGACTGCTCTACTCAACTCAATTGGCTGGACCCTTCCAGTTCTACCAGAACTAGATGACCTCACAGTGGGTGTGTATGGTTCTTTATGACATCACAGAGGATCTATTTGACATTGTAACACTGCCCTGACTTTGAGTCATTCCTTATACCCATAGGTGTTTATGTATAATTTTAAAATAAGTCTTTCCTTTTATACACAGTCTGACAAACATATATATATATAATAAAGTATTTTTAAAAAACTAACTTTCATAGATGCTTCATTATGTAAACAGTATCTCAGTTTCTTTTCACCTTCTATTTTCAGAGTGTAGGTAAGTATTTTCTGCCTTGGCATTGGTATTTAGTTTTTCCCCTGTATAAAATCTGAATTTTAACAGAAGAAATACCTTTTAAATGAGTTTTAAGCTGTTTTTCGTGTTCCGTATTAAATGCCATTATAATTATTTTACTAACTCATTTACAAAGACTTACATTAGCAAGATGTTGGTCTAAATGAAGGGGAGGCCTGGATATTTCCTGGATCAGTTTCCTAAATGGGTTTCAGTCTCTGCTGGGATTAACCTCATCCATTATAGCTACATGGTTAGGAATTCATTTAGAAGCTTGTAGATTCAAAAGCACACCTGGATAATATAAAGTAAGAATACAGTCAATTTAATTTAAAAATGTATTCAGATAACAGTATTGTTCTTAACCTAAATAAAAGAAGCATAGTCAATTTGTTTTCATTTTGTCAAAGCAGTTTTACAATTTCAGATTATATAATGGAGATACAATCATTTTGTTAGGAGAACATTAAATCAATAAATTGATTTTCTTATAAAATAGGATCTTAAATGCAAGTTGCTATATTGTATGTACAGTATTTGTGAGAATTCACTGTAAGTTTGGTTTATTTACTCTTTAAAGTGGAGTCCAATAAGCTCTGAAGAGATGTATATGATACTAATCAAAACATCCAAACATCTAATAATCACCAAGAAGAAGGACCCTCTAAAGAGCTATTTGCCTATCATTTCCCTATCTATTTCCACTATATCACACATTTTCTTGCTGAAAGAAAAGGTTTCTAAAATTATATGCATAAACAGTAACATGGTCTATAGATCCGACAATTTTACCTTTGTCATGTAATGGTCTTACAAGTTTCCAGAAAGATGATTCTGAAGTCTGAAAATACATTTTTATCAGGGGCTTCTGCCCAAGCTGCTTTTGTGCCACTGATGTAGGTCGCCCTGACTGTTCACACTCTGACATTTATCTCTGCTGCACAGGCGGACTGATCATGGGCACAGGTATTGAGTCCTCTTCCCACATCTATGGCCTCTTTCAGCACATCTGTGTAGCCTTTGAACTGGTCTTAGCCGATGGCAGCCTGGTCAGGTGTACTGTGGTGAGTCCTACCTCCTCAGAAGTGGGGGTGCCTAATAATTCCCTGCATTTGTACGTAACTCTTCATCCCAAGGGGGTCTCTAAGTACTTTACATATACTGAAGAAAAGCCACCTTTATACACCACTGAAGTGCAGCTGGGTAATAAGTGGCTGGCATACTTTCCCAGTCCTACTATGTGGGAAATCTGACGTAGAAGTGAAAAATTACATCACTTATAATGGGAGACATTTTACTGTGAGAAGAGCTTTTAAAAATTAAAAATCTTGCAGTGATTTCAAAATTGTTTTGTGTTAAGGGGACCAAACCAGTGAATGAACAAATTGGATTAGAAATGAGAGGGCCACTGCTGCTTATGTCTGTTCTAGAATGACTAGCTTGCCCGTCTGCTTTATATTTATTTTAGGACACTCACACCTGCTATTGTGTGTTCAAGGAGAATTGAACAAGCTATCCAGCCACGTGGCTAAAGCCGATATCTTGAATTCCTTCAATAAAAGACTAGATGAGACTGGATCAATTAATTTCTAACTACTCTTGTTTGTACCCTTTCTTACATTCTGAAGCGTGCAGTGTGTCATTGCATTCTACATCACATGTTACCTGTGTTCTAGAAAGAGAACTCTGACCTTTTCTACGCCGTACCCTGGTCCTGTGGCACATTGGGCTTTTTGGTTGCTGCAGAAATCCGAATAATCCCAGCACGGCGCTTTGTTAAGCTGCAGTACGAGCCAGTCTGCGGGCTGGAGAGAATTTGTCAGCGGTTTGCAGAGGAATCTGCCAACAAGGAGAACCAGTTTGTGGAGGGGTTGCAATTTTCACTTGATGAGGCCGTGATCATGACAGGGATTATGACAGAAGAGGCAGAGCCTGACAAGGTGAATGCTGGGAAAATAGTGCAATATATTGACTGAATTGTCTATATACAGGTAATCGGACCGGTTTAAGTAAACTGCTTAGAATAATATAAAAATATTTTTCTTTTTTTAACAGTTAAATAATCAAATAATAGGGACATCACACAATTCTGATTTTAACTTGCAACTCAAAACTGGCAACCAACTGAGGCTAAGCAGGTATGAGCCTAGCCAGTATCTGTATGGGAGACCTCCTGGTTGCTAGTAAAGGTATTAGTGGAACCAGTAGGGAGTGCTCACCATGTGGTCTGTGTGGGTCCTAATGCTCCAGTATTGTGATGGTGACACTATACAGTAAAAAAAGCACCATCCTATGGATGAGATCCTGACTCTCTGTGGTCGTTAAATATCCCAGGGTATTTCTTAAAAGGTGTAGGGATGTTATCCTGGTGTCCTGGCCAAATTTCCCATTGCCCTTTTACAATCGTGGCATCCTAATAATCTCTATGTTTGAACTGACTTCATTACTATGTTCTCCTCCCCACTGATAGCTGGTGTATGGTGAGCATACTGACATACTATGGCTGCTGTTGCATTATCCAGACGGATGCTGCACATTTGTGGGGAATCCCACTACCTGTAAAGGGCTCTGAGTGCAGTGTTCAGAAAACTGCTATAATATTACTATTATTAGTTTATTATTAATAATAAATAATAATAATAATTTACATACATATATGATACAGAGGATTAACAGCACAAAGCAGCCATATTCTGAAAATCCTAATACCTGTCTGAATAATTTCTGACTGCCTGCAGTGGCAGTGACAATGTGATAATGATATTTAATACTGTTAACATGATCTTGTGGGCCCCAGCATTCTGTTCTAACAATTGCAGGTGTGCTATCCTTATTCAGCTTTACAAAATGTGTACAAATATGCTGCTGCTACAGTTTTTAGAGCCTTATGTTTTCCCTGAATTTTAATGAAAAACTCCAAAGAATATTTATGGCCTGAAAACATAAACAGCTGATAATTGTTCTGGATTAAAAAAGCATACGGGGAACTCTAAATAATATAGACATTCTTTACACAGTTCAGTTTACAGTCTATTCTGATATCCCTACCTTATACCGCACATTATAGTAAACTGAACAAATATACTGTAGTAAATGACTATTAAACAGCACCTGTAATGCTGTTATACCTTACTGCTTGAGAGTTCTTTTAAGGATTAATGCTGTCCTTTCTCAGATCAACTGTATCGGGCATTACTACAAACCCTGGTTCTTCAAGCATGTGGAGAGTTACCTAAAAGAGAACCGGAGAGGAGTGGAGTATATTCCCCTCAGGCACTACTACCACCGGCACACACGTAGCATCTTCTGGGAGCTGCAGGTAAGGACTGTCACATACAGCTGTGGGAGCTCAGACCAACAACGCAGAGCACCACATTAAGATGCTATTCTACCCAACCTTTGCTTATTGCAAGGCTGGCATGCAAGATCATACATCTTAAATCTAATCCTACCAATTTTTCCCACCATCCCCTTCTCCTTTTCAGGGAATTAGCTAATACAGTCACAATCCCTCCACTGCCCAGGGAATTCAAAGCATTATATAAGCAAAATTACCATGCCATTTTAGAGCATTACCGCCAAGCCAAAGTACTGCGGTCAAATAATTGTGCTTTTCCTTTTGATAAAAACCATGATGAATTATGTATATTGTTTTTGACAGAGAACCAACAGATTGTGATGGACTTCTAATTGTAATGTAGTTCAGACCACTCCTGACTCAGCAATGAAACACTCAGAAGGGAGTGTTCCCAGATCCATTAGTCTCTCCAGACGTTGAAACCAGAAGTCTAAATCAAAGTATTTTATTTTTCTCGCCATTTGATTTAACACTTGAGGCACAACTGTTGAGTAATTTATTATGGTTCACACCTCATACAAGAAGCGTTAGCAGCTAAATATTCACTTTGTTGTCTTCGTTCTCCATATGTTTTTCTACAGGTTTTTGAGTTCATGTATGCGAGTCCATTCCTTCTACACAAAAAAGTATAATTTTTACAGTATAAATAATAAACCTTTAGCCAATGAAAAGCAGGATTGCTCTACACTCAGAGCCTGTTGCCGCCACTCTATTCTCACTCTTGCAGTAAAAGAGGGGCTGACTGTAGCAAGATGGTATGAGCTGGGTTAACCGCAAGCTGAACAAAGTATTGCAAAGAAACTATAGACCCACAAAGGTCATTAGAAATATTGACCTGTATAGGAGTTTTGGTACTGTGCTATTTTGTGTCACAGCTAGCAAAAACAGTTGATATTATATTGAACATATAGATGTATGAAAAGTAATTTTAAAAGGAGAGAAAGAGTAGGGTTCAAGGGGCAAATGCCAGATATTGATAGCTAAGACCTTTGAGCCTTGTCCTCAAGGGTCTCAGTGCATATGATCTTACATATGTTTGAATGATTGCCTGCTTCAGACTTGGGACAGTTGGTCCAGCTTAGTGAATAATTTATTAAGCAAAGAGAAGTAAAGTTCAGTTGAAAAGAAAACTGAAGATCCTTTGGCCTTCAAGGGTTAGACTTAAATTTCAATGGAAAGTGGGAAAAAAGTCAGGAAAATTGGGGGAGATGTATTTCTAGACAGTTGTCAGAGCTCTGGTGATTAACATCATGATTCCCCACAGGATATTATTCCCTTTGGCAACAGCCCACTGTTCCGGGGCCTGTTTGGGTGGATGGTTCCACCGAAGATCTCATTACTAAAGCTAACCCAGGGCGAGACCATCCGCCAGCTGTACGAACAGCACCATGTTGTCCAGGACATGCTGGTTCCTATGAAGCACCTGGAGAGCGCGATCACCACTTTCCACAAGGACATCCATGTGAGTGCTGCATGCATCCAGTAGGGAGAGTAGGAAATGGAACTCCTATTGCATATTGTACATTCACTGGCCAAAATATTAGCCTTCTCAGTATGAGAGAAACTGGCAGCTCAGACATTTGGAAAATTTGCTTCACTGAATAGCCAGTGGTACAAAACTACCATCTGTTGGACTATAACTGAATATTACTGGAGTCAGACTGGAGTGTTATTCTGGCAACGGAAGTCAGGGTAAGTCTCCTGCTCTTCAGCCAGGTGCACATCACTTGCCAATGACTACCTGTTCATTTGAATTGGCTTTCTTAATATTTTGGCCGATGAGTAGAGTTTTTCCACCACATAATTTATGCTCATATGTAGAAATCGGTACTGGGCAGAAAATATTTCATTATATGGAATGAATGTCCAGAGACCAAAATGTGCAGTTATGTGTATACATTTGCTTTTCTGCTTGTATGAGAGCCTGCTACTCACAAATCCTGCACATTCACAAATTCTGCTATTGGAATCATATTTCTGTCCCTTGGAAGAAAATACAGTTTTTAACATTTACTATAGTCTCAGTTGGAGGACAGAGGGAGGATGGCAAAATGGAAAAGTAAAGGAAAAATAAAAATTTGCTTTTATCATCTGCATAGTTTAGAATGGAGGGTGTTTATCATGAGTGTTATTTTCACAAGAATAAAATAATAAAATATTGAAAATAAACTTTCAATAAACTGAACTGTCCTGAGGGAAGAACTCATTGTACCCAATTCCTTCAAATAATAGTAAAAGGGACTGCAACTAGAGATGCCCTGTCTTCTGGCTATTACATGTAATTAATAAAAATAAATGTTGTGCTGTCTTCTCCATCAGTGAAGCTACAGTATGCTACAGTGCACAGAGTGAACCCAGGCTCCCCAAAGTGGTATACCTTGTGTCACTGGCACAGCTACTGTGGGATTTCCAAAGCTTTTTCTCTGTGGCAGACTTGGCGTCTTCATACTTGTTTTGAAAACCAAGCAGATTGAAAGCAGATCAAGATGTAAATAAAACCAGTGCAGAAAAGATTTAAAAATGTGTTTTTTTTACATAACACATTTTGTTATTGAAAGTGTGATCTATTTTGGAAGAGTAAAACTGGAGCAGATCTTATTCTGGTGCATAAAACTTGAAAGTGGCCTGGTTGTTTTTACACTTGTACACTCTTTTTTGTAAGAAAGGCAAATTTTACATTTAAGAAAAAGCACAAATATTAATTAATGCCTTATTGATTTAAAATCATTCCCAATGTAGGAGTAGGCTGTATCTATTCTCCACATTTCATACTTACATTGCAAGTATTTTCTTCTAACTTACCATTAATAATTTAAGTGATATTCTGCATCAGGGCTAGTCAATTCAGTCAGTGAGTAAAGCAGTGGTTTTCCCTGTTGTGTGCTGCTGCTCTGTGAAAGTGTGGGCTCTGACAGGGACTGTGTGTGCTATTTGCAGGTGTACCCTCTGTGGCTGTGCCCGTTTGTGCTGCCCGGCCAGCCAGGGATGGTGCATCCAAAGGGCAACGAGGCTGAGCTTTATGTGGACATTGGTGCATATGGGGAACCCCGCGTCAAGCACTTCCAGGCTCGGGCTTCTATGAGGCAGCTGGAGAAGTTTGTTAGAGGCGTGCACGGGTACCAGTGATGTCCTCTCTGTTTGTTTCTGTTCCTTTTAGTGTCTTTTTAGTTTTGTTTTTAGTTTTGTTGTCTTTGCTTTGTGTGGTTTCCCCTCTTCCAGGCTGTCTATCACTCCCTATACCCTTTTCATACTATTGGCAAACTGCCTAATTCATTTAGTGTGGAAGAGATTTGCCAGCAGATGGAGACAATAGAGCTTGTGTGTATTTGCCTCTTTGTCTTTCTTTTGTCTCTTTCTGAGCTTCTCACTCTTTCTCTATCTTTTTTCAGTCAGCTCTTCCCATTATAAATTATAAATTATAAAAGCAATCATCAAGAATGGTCTTGTCGCTTGTTGCATTGGAATATCTCAACACAGTGTGACATTTTCTGCCTCGTAGGTAGAAATGATAATCAAGCCCTTCTTTCTTGCCTGTGGCCGATGCCAAAATGGCTGGTAAATGGCTGAAAATAAGCATGTTGTAATGTTTTCTTTATCAGCACTTCCTGGGCCCCCACATCGTCTGTGCTGTTATAGGGTTATGCAGGATGTATTAGAGAGGAGATTGCTTCGTCTTTTTCAGGTTCCAGATGCTATACGCTGATGTGTACATGGACCGTCAGGAGTTTTGGGAGATGTTTGATGGCTCTTTGTATCACAAGCTGAGGGAGGAGTTAGGCTGCAAGGACGCTTTCCCTGAAGTTTATGACAAAATCTGTAAAGCAGCACGACACTGATCCACCCCTATCCAAAAGAAGGAGAATATGTGAGTGCCCGTTTCAGTTAAGCTCAACTGTTTCATTTGGACTGACCCTCTTCAAATTCTACTTTTATTCACCTGGGCTGCAGTCTGGTAAATGTCTCACATTTTACCCTGCTGCATAATCCAATTTTAGTAAAACCATCAGAAATAAAATGTATTTAGTGAGTTCTGTCAGCCATGGAGTTCATTTAATCTTTTATATAAACATTTAAAACTATGTGTACACTTATAAGCTTAGTTTTATGTACCTGTAGTTGAACAACCTTCCACTTTTTATTATCACTTGCTTCCAGCAAAGATAAAATAACACCATTTGAAATAAAACATGGAGGCTTAGACAGGAGAGTACGAATAAGTTGAAATTGAAGTTAAAATTGACCAAAGTATTTGGTCTCCACAGTTCTTTATTTCACTGTTAATATTACAGAACCTTTGTTTTTCCTTTAATAACTTAATATATAATTTAAATAAAAAAAATAAAAAAAATGGCATTGACAAAATTATTGACACCCCAAACTCAATATTTGGTAGCACAGCCTTTGGTTAAAATAACTGCAATCAAGCACTTCCTATACCCATTGATGAGCTTCCTGCACCTCAGTACTGGCAGTTTGGCCCACTCTTCTTGTGCAAACTGTTACAGTTCTCCCAGATTTGAAGGGTGCCTTCTCTCAACTGCTGTTTTCAGATCTCTTATTAGAAGTGCAATAAAAGATTAACCAACAATAAATCGCCATTGGAATACCACATATGGTACATAACTAAGTTTGACTTATGGAGCAGGAGCATTGTAGGATAAAAGAGGTTTTGTATAGATTAGAAACACCAAATTTGTAAAAAATAAATAGACAACATTTTGTAAATACAAAACCCACACATTTTAAGTGTTTCCTGTGTCCTACTAAAGTCCTACTGAAGTTACTGTAATTTTAGCAGTTAGGGGTGTTACTGTGGAACTACACTTTAATTGAATATACATGTGTTTATTTATGGCTTTGGTTACAAATGGACAAATAAATTTGAATTCTGCAAATAAATTACTCTTTTCCTTTCATTTCTAACATAACTAGAAGAAACAAGAGAGTTTTTAATATTCAAATAAAGACTTGGCTTTAAACCAATGTCATTTGTCAGATGCTTATATCCAAAGCAACTTACAGAACTAGAGTACAATCTACTGCAGTTCCTGATAACCTATGTATTATATTTCATTAATTAAAAAGACATGAAATTAAGTAACATGCTTAGGTTAATTCAATGCAAGTGAGTGGCAGGAGTCATGTGTGTCAGGAAGTTCCTAGTTAAACCATGTTCTTTGTTTGCTACTGGACCATCTGCATGGTTGGGTGAGTATTTTGCATGTGTTAGTGCATGTAGAAAGGAATGTTTATTAAGCAGTTCGTATTTGTGCCAAGGGTAAATAACACAAATTATCTTGGTGTTTTAAATATTTATTTGCTTTGTGAAAGTTTTAAGGTTTTCATCTTCCATTAACAGATGGTTACAGTCAATTTTTCTGAAACTCTAGGCTAAAGCAGCATTGCAGGGAGAAATCACTCCATAGGGCTTTTCAGGAAGCACTATGAAAGACCTCTTTTCAGCTGGAATATTAATAGACCGTAGCCTTTCCCTGGATAAAAAAAGAAAGATTACATATTCTTGTTTAATTGTGGCAAAGTTTTTTTTTTATTTATTCCTGTACTACACTACTGAAAAACTGTTTTATACTTGGGAGATCATTACCATTTCAATATTCATGGTTCTAATTATAAAAGATATGGCAATTATTACTGATGGCACCTGCAAATTAAAGTATCTATTTCCTTATCCTCATCAATATCTTGTCTGCAAATGTTATCATTTAGAGTTTTACTGTATAACACTAATATTTTGAATGTCACTTGTTTCTTTGATTGCACAGATTCCCCATTTTCCTTTTATATCGCTTACTGATTGAGCTTACATGCAGGTAGTCTTATAGAAAATACGTATCCATATTTTGTGGGTTCATTTTCCATTTTGTGTGATGTTTGTATTAATAAAATGTGATGCATCAACTAAACAAGCTTGACGGGCTGAAGCACTCTCATATTCCGGAATTCTGTTCTCCTCCTTACAGTTTTTGTTTGCTTTTGAATTTGTTCTCTTGTTTACTTATCCTAGTTGTTGTGATTTGTTTGTACCACTTTAGAAATTACAAAAGTGAATCTTACCGGTAGTAGTTATCCCTATCTGGATTATGGAGGAAGCGCTCAGTTTGGGAGTTGAAAACCGAGCAATAGCCTCTGGCGGTCTTGTTCCACTGTCTGTTACGGATGTCATAGCGTCCCGGACCAGCTGTGTTCTGGAACAGTAATCAACTTACATTACAGGAATGCTTGTGTTCAGGCTGTGATGGACCGACTGTGAGACAGGCTGACCAGACCATCAGGTAACACCTTGCAATGCAAGATTTTTTTGTACTAGTTAATGTACAGTCTGAGATGCTCAAATAATGACCTCCCATTACAGGGTCTTGCCTCCAGTAAGTGCATTAGTCAGTTGAATAATTTACATAATTTTAAGTTTATTTCTGCTCCTGGAGGGACAACATTTTGCAAGTTTTATAGATAATTTAAAACATGCAATGGCTTAATATCCATAAATCAAGGTAATTTAGACTAATCAAGTATTCAACTTAGTAGAGTAAGAACTCAAAAGGGAAATTCCAAATACTGTATGATGTGGTTCAACAAGATCAGAGGTGCTACTGCATGTCATGACTGACTGGCTGGCTGGCTTGACTTTTGGCTTTGACCTGTAGTATAAGGAGGAAAGATCAGGACAGATACAGGAACATTCATTTATGCTTACAGGCGGAGGTGTCCGTTTCTAACTCTTTACATAAATTGCAAATCTTTTTATCCATTCATAGAACTTGCCTCAGTTGTACTAGTGGCTGCTTACTCTGTATTTCACCGGCTGTGAATGCAGCTCCTGCTTTGTAACAGTTGGCGGTAAAAATCACATTCAGATTCCCCCATCATTGTTTTAGGAGATTTTAATCATGCTAGCCTGGGGAAGGTTCTCCTTAGATATAAACACCAGGAAGAAGTTGCAACTAGGAAAAATAAAATATATTGGAAACATACCGGGTGTTATTTTGCACCTCTCTCAGCCAAACAGATCATAATGTAGTATTTCTTAGCCGAAGATATATAAAAGGCATATAAACCAATTACAAGAACTGTGAACCATACGAACTGTGTTCAGCTGAGACTCAGGAAGTGCTAAGTGACTGTTTTGTTACTACAGACTGGAGCATTCACTTTTCCAAGAGCATATGCATTCCTTGCAAATCAGTCACTGTTTACAATAAAAATAAGCCCTGGTTCAACACCCTGTGGGAAAAGAAAAGCAGGGCATTAAAAAGAAGGAGATGATACTGACTTCAAAACCAGCATTCCAATATGCAGTAAAGAGGGCTGAATATACTGCAAGACCGCATTCGAAAACAAACTACCAATGACATCCAAGGCATCTGGCAGTGCCTTTAACAAATCTCTGACTTCAGGGTGCAATAAACTGCTCCAGTTGACAATCCCTTTTTCCCCCAGACAAGCTGAATGAATTATACTGCAGTTTCGATGCACAAAACAACAAACAGCAAATTTCACCTAGACAGCCAGTGGAGACCCTCCAATCACCCTTTATCATTCAGGAGCATAATGTAACATGATTTTTCCACATACAGAACAGCAGGATCTCGGCCAGACCTTGATTCAGCAGATACACTGAAATCTTGTGCTAGTGAGCTTGCTCCTATTTTTACATATATTTTCAATCTATCCCTTAAGCAAGCTAAGGTACCACACTGCTTAAAGATGGCTACCAAAATACTAGTACCTAAGAAATCCACTGTGAACTGCCTTGACCAGTAGTCTTGATGTCTGTGATAATGAGTTTTCAAGCAACTCAGCCAATTTCCTGTTTAATGTGTACTTGGACCCATGCCAGTTTGCCTACTGAGCGAACAGGTCAGTGGATAATGCAGTCTCCCTGGAGCTGTATAATATATTTCAACATGTAGAAGTACCCAGTAAAATGCTTGAATTCTCTTTATTGACAACAGTTCTGCTTTTAACACAATCGTCACTTTCAAGCTTTGTGATAAGCAAGCAGAGATGGGTATTAATTAGACTGTGTTATTGGCTACTGAGTTTCATTTCTTATAGGAAGCAGGTGGTGAAACTGAAGAATACCAAAGAGATCAGAACTCTTCACCACAGGAGCTGCTAGGGATGTGTCTTATCACATCTCCTTTACACTGTTCACAAATGACAGTAATTCACATTCAGATTCAGTCAAAATGTTCACTCATGGTACTACTCTCATAGGGCTCATCACAAACAATGATAAGTCAGAACCTAGGAACGAAGTAGATGAATTAGTTGAATGGTGTAGCCTAACCTGGAACTAAATGTCAGTTAAACAAAATAATCTGTGATGGACTTCAGGCAAAACAAAGGGGAACTCTCACCACTGTACATCAGTGGACAGCTCGTAGTGGTCGAAGAGAATTTTAAAGGGCACCATCATCTCCAACTCTGGTAGGTCAACACATCCATTAAAGTCAAGAAAGCTTACCAGAAGCTGTTCTTTCTGAGACAAAGAAGTTTGGAGTGTCACAGGAAGCAATTGTTGTATAGAACTCCAGTAAGAGTGTTTTTACCTTCTCCATCACTGTGTATTATGGCAACACTTCTGCCCAGGACAAAAAGCAGCTAGAGAGAGCAGTGCATATTGCCTCCAAAATTGTAGGATGCCACCTTCCAACTAAAGACTCACTCTACCTTTCTAGACTGAAGCAAAAAGCCCTAAAGATCCTTGCAGACCCTTCTAACCCTACCCAACCTCTATTTACTTTCCTTCCCTTTGGCAGGCAATTTAGGTCTATCAAGACAAAGACTACTAGGTTCCATAAAAGCATCTACCCCAAGGCACAAGCAAACCTCTATCTATAACTGTTATTTATTTTATTATTGGTGTGCGTCTAGAATACTATGTGACGATATGTTGAGTGGATACTGTCTATTATTTACTTTATGTTGTTTATTTGTATAGTACTTCTTTTAATTGTATGAGCTCACCAAACCAAATTCCATGAATCTACAGTAGTTGTTATGGCAATAAAGTATTGAACTTGAACTTATTTTCCTTTGAGTTTAAGTAATATGATGCAATATTTTACAAACGTTCTCAGAAATAAAAATGTTGCAATGTTAAACACGGTCACAAACGTAAAAATAAAATTCAACACCCCTTTTGAAATCCTGACTATACTTTCAGTTTTAATGCCTGTCTGGTTTAAATAAACCACCTACCACCTGTTAAACAACCACAAACAAACATTTCACAGATGCTTTTCTAAAGATATTATATTTTCCTCATTATCTACACAAGTTTTTTTTCAATTAATATATTCAAAAGTCCAGATGACTAGTTTAGATTTTTTGTGTTTAGTTTAGAAAATTGACTTTCACAGTCAAAGTACACTTTTTTTCTTTTCATATGGGCATTCCATATTGTTATGAGTGATAGTTCTGCATAGACTTCAGGGTTACCATGGATAAGCATAGCAGGTACTTACATAGTTTCCATTCTGGAGTTTCTCTGTCCTGCTGTTGACACGTGGTGCAGAGGAAAGGAAGGGAGGTGGTTTTTGGTTTTGTGGTTGGGAAGTTAGAACCATATCATACCAGCCAGGGCCAGGGAAGGTCTGGGAGCAGTCGGAGAGAGCAGACACCATCAGACAGCAACAGCAACACACGCTAGGTGGCAATACTGGGAGCACCCATGCCAGCCTCATTGTAGTAAGTGTGCTGCTTTTAAATTCTCAATGTGTGTGGATTATTTGCGTGTTGGTTTGTGAGGTGTAGAAATTGTTAGATGAAGCAGGAGTAAAAATAGCAGTAGACTAACATAAGTGCTTTTAATTACTAATATGCACTCATGCACTTTTTAAAAATCTTAATTTCTATTAAGATATGAGAATCCTGGTAAGTTGGATAAATTACAAAAGTACCCTATAATCACACTAATATCACACTATATTTATAACATTTTAACTCTTGGCTGATTAAAATATTGTAATTATAATAACAGGCATAAAACAGTAGTCCTATTAAAACACTTAATTTTATAAGAAGATGAGGATTTGTCTTATCAACCAATATCTTGCTGGAGTAGATGCTCAATATCAGTGACGTAACAAGAACTGTGTTGCAGTAAAGTCTGATGTGCTGTCTGGTTAAATGATCATAATCATGAATTCTTGAAAACCCATCATAATGTAAAAAAACAAGTCAAATACATGAGGTTAGAATACATTTTAACTTTCTTGGAAACTTAAGGTACTCAAGTCCATTGTAAAACAGTTACAATTTTAAAATGAATCTCAACCCTAAACTATTTAGCTGATTACAAAAAAAATATTTTGTCTACACAAGAACATCAACAACTGCCACATTTGCCTTTCATAATGGTTGCCAGCACCACCGATTGCAGTCAGCTTGAACCCAATGGAAACTGATGTGCAACTGTACTTAACTAATTTTTTAAAAACACAGCAAACAGGAGATACAGGATTATCTATTGTTACTAGCTAGATTACAATAGTATAATCATATGGCTGTAATTCCTATCAGTCAACAGCAGAAAATAAAAAATATGTTTGCTCCTGGTTGATATGCTCCCTGTTATCCAAGTTCTAAGAAACGTTTATGATTGTGGTGAGCCTCAAGTCTTTTCACAATAGAAGATGCTGCAGATGGGAAATGTGGTAAAAAAGAACATGATTTTCTTTGGGTCCTTTTAACACAACATTACATTTAATGAACTATAGAGCTTTAACTTCAATGTTCAAAAACAAAGGATGACCTTACACTGCCAATGTTAACCCAGACCTGTGGTGCTGCATTTGGCATTTGTGCTAGATCACTAGAGATACTGTACAAGTTAGTGAGAACTGACCGCAGGGCGAGGACACAGGGACAGGGAATTGAGGAAGATTCTGTCTGTGGGAACAGCAGGGTACTGGGGCAGGGTGCTGAACACACCATGCTTCTTCTTCTCTTTCCTCTCCAGCCCTTCCACCAATGTCTTTACACCGCTGCTGTATTCTCCAGGGTCCAGGTTTGCTTTTTTCTGGAAAAGTGGTGAAGCACAATGAAGGAAGAATAAGGACTCTAGGACAGTGAATGTGGCACACATGGATATACTGTACGATTCTGTGAATTAGGACAATAACCTTTTTAATAATAATAACATCCCTCTCACTGTTCATATTTTGTTTGCACCTTCATTCAGAACTATCTGGTTACCTTACAGTTAAATAGGGAAACACATAATAATAGGTGTCAAACACAATGTTAAAGAAAGGAAGGAAGATTAAAAATCAATTATAAAAATCGAACAACTTGTCAGAATGGTACATAGCTGATATTAAAATATTGGCATGGCAGAGTCAATGGGCTTCCCTAACCTCTGACCTTCTTATGCACTTTACAAAACTTACTTCTATTTAGCTGGGGTGTGAAATAATGTATCCAAATAGTATTAAGGCATTTGTGACATTACATTTTTTTCAAAGCCTAGCTAGTGAGAACACAGAGCACAGATAAGGAGTTGGATGTCCCCTGCTGGCAGGATGTGGTAACTTCACATTTCTTGTACAAAGACACATACTGTACCTGACCAGGAACGCACAATTAGAACTTTTCATCTTTAGCATAAGCACCATTGTCAGCCTCCAATGCGTGAGGTTCTTATATGGAAACCTGGCTGGTGGCAGTAAATACGTCAAAACCCCAGAGGGTCAAATACACAAGTATTAAAGAAAGCAGCTTATACCAGTTCTGCAAAATAGCCACAGGTGGCAGGCCTGTCTCGGCTGCCAGTGAACAGGTCATATGGTCCTCGTTTACTGACTCTGTGACCTAGAAGAAGGTCAATGGAACTCTTCAGATGATAAGTGCCCGGTCCTAAATTGCAGCCCTGCAAACACACATATACTAAATAAAATGGCAAGCAATAATGCAAGGGTATGGATGATATTATAATGCTAATAATACAGTCACCTAAATAAGTTGCCTTGACTTATTTTTTTATTTTGATTATGTATTGCTTGGTTTGAGATGATTGCTTTTAAAAGTGTAAAATAAAGTAGCTTATTATTATAGTTTAGTTGTCACCTATCAAACCATAATTATTTATTCAATCACAAAGTAGTCAGTCTAAATACAAATTCACTGGAGCTACATATAAAAACAATGCCTTCATATTTCTTTTTAAGCAGTTTTTTTGTAGATTCAGTACAGTTCATGCAATACAAGTTGCAGGACTCCAAAGTCTCAGAAGATAAATACTCACTACTGTGCGCTCCTCAAATCGCTTCACCCCATAGTTGAAGTCCATGGGGGGATATGTTCCTACTGACTGGCTCTTCTTCTCCTCCAGTACTGCCCATGGTATCCCCCCTTTGCCATAACTCCCAGGTCCCGGGGTCCAGCTCTGCAGCAGACAGTGCCTGATATCACTGCTATGGTTCTCAAATGAGCTTCACACCAAAAATACAAGTAAACCAAAAGAATTCAGGTGCTGTATTATCCCTGATAATGTTGAACCTCTGTGTTCAATACATCTGCACAAATATTTTGTGCACTATGCAGAAACACAGCCTAATTAATAAACATCATTCTCAAAAGATATGGAGGAGTAGCAAATATATGTTTCATTGGAGGGACCCACCTGTCCCAGCATGTGCTAGGTCATGTGAACCCTAGCACATGCTGGGTTCTGTAAAGGACTGTAAAAGTTCTCTACTGTGTGAAGAAGTAATAGGTTTATTCCATGCTGAAAAGAGAAGAAAGAAAACACAACGTTTCAGCCGTGGAGCCTTCTTCAGGTGTCGAAAACACAATGTTATGGCCGTGGAGCCGTGACACCTGAAGAAGGCTCCACAGCCAAAACGTTGTGTTTTCTTTCTTCAGCATGGAATAAACCTATTACTTGTTCCTTTGCAGCCTACGCATGCTGACGCAGCTACCCACCTGAACTACTTTCTCTACTGTGTTGTGCTTTGCGAACGAAGGCTGATATAAATCACCTCACAGGAGGTAAAGTTTGTTGGTACATGTGCTTTTGATGCGCTGTTGACAGATGGCAACAGGCATAACTGGCTAACATGTCATTTCTGACAGCCTAAGTGGCCTACAGGCAATGGTTTTGGAACAAAGAAAATACATGAATTTCATGCACAGCTCTGTCAACTGCTGTTGGCTGAGACGTCCCATCTCTCCATAAACAGCTGTGACCCTCTAGTAAAATTAATCCCATTAAATGCTGTTGCTGTATTCCCCATTAGAGGTGGACTGTTCCACTATTTGAGGTATTCACAAATATTTTGGTAAGGAAGTAAATTAATATACAGTAGGTTTATATGGTTTGTCATCCACTTTCCTGTCTTTGTACACTCACAACATAATCCAACACTTTAGGGAGTATCTGGGCAAAGAGTGGATACGGAATAATAATAATAATAATAATAATAATAATAATAATAGCTTACACTTATATAGCGCTTTTCTGGACACTCCACTCAAAGCGCTTTACAGGTAATGGGGACTCCCCTCCACCACCACCAATGTGCAGCATCCACTTGGATGATGCGACGCCAGCCATAGTGCGCCAGAACGCTCACCACACATCAGATATCAGTGGGGAGGAGAGCGGAGTAATGTAGCCAATTCATAGAGGGGGATTATTAGGAGGCTATGATTGGTAAGGGCCAACGGGAAATATGGCCAGGACGCCAGGGTTACACCCCTACTCTTTTCAAGAAACGCCCTGGGATTTTTAATGACCACAGAGAGTCAGGACCTCAGTTTTACGTCTCATCCGAAGGACGGCGCTTGTTTACAGTATAGTGTCCCCATCACTATACTGGGGCATTAGGACCCACATGGACTGCAGGGTGAGCACCCCCTGCTGGCCCCACTAACACCTCTTCCAGCAGCAACCTTAGTTTTTCCCAGGAGGTCTCCTATTCAGGTACTGACCAGGCTCACACCTGCTTAGCTTTAGTGGGTTGCAAGTTGTGAGTTGCAGGGTGATATGGCTGCTGGTATGCAGTGATATGAATACTGCATACAGTACTGTTTACAATATACCGTTATATACAGTCTGGCAGTGTATTTATACTGTGTCCTACAGTAGGTTGCAGTTTACCTGTGGATGATTTTTAAACCTCTCTTCTCTGGCTTCACACACTCCTCTCTTACTTGATGGCCTTTTCTTTTGCAGCTCAATAAAGTCACAGATCTTGTAGCTTCCTGGGCCCACTTTGGTTTTCTAAAAGGAAAAGCAAAACTCACTTTTGTGTCTTTGCACATTATAATATATTTAGAAGCTGATCACTTACTCTGCACACAACTTTGAAACAGCAAAGGTACTGGGAAGTTGTCCTCATCTTCTCCCTTGCTGGTGGATTTGTATCCCGCCCTAATGAGTATTGATGGTGGCAAGACTGTAGGCACTCCTTTTACTCATGTAGATTTGTTAGTATTGATCTTTAAAACTAGATGGTAATCCAATTGCTTCACTTACCAAGAAGCTTTTTTCCCCCCAAACATCTCTATACAGCAGAAGGGGCATTTGTGACAGTCTGCTTGTCTCTTGTGCCTTCTTCCACCCTGGGCCCCTTGTTCGCTGCCACACTGCCCTTGGGCTAAAGTCTCCCGTCTCTGGATCATAGGTGCCAGGGCCAAGCTTCCTCTCCTACAGACAGATGTACCCAGAGACAGGTGCACAAAGAAAGAGATGGACAGGAACAGGCACAGACAGAGAGACAGACAAACAGAAACAAAGGCCATTAACAAGGAAAGTGTGAATGTCTATATTTCACTGTTTTGTCTAGATTGTTCTTAAGGTTCTTATAGTTAAAAAAAACAAGGTGGAACTATTTTTTTACTCAGACAGTAATATGTGTATTATTTTAGGTTAAGCTACATATTTTTAGATACTTTCAGCTCAGGGGGAATCCATGAGGATGACCCAATTGGCCAGTGTGTAGTTAGAGCCATTTTGGACATAGCAGTGCAGAGTTCTCTCATAATGAGTCCTGCATGTGTAAGTGTCTCCCCCCATAAACTGGTTTTGTATAGAAACTCAGACTTTAACAAAACAGGCATTTGTAATAGAATTGTCTTGGAGAATTAAAGTTAACAGTTATTAAGGTGCAAGTATGTTTTGGGAAGAATTTACAATTCAGTATAATTTTTCATTTAAGTGTTTGCGATGACACGGACACGGGAACTGAACACAGGCAGGAACACATTTCCGTGTTGTTGTGGGAGAGACGTGAAATATTGCTGCACAGCAATAACAGAAAACAGATTCCCTCACACTTCTTTACCATTTCGTTTGTACTTTTTTTGCAGTATGATATCTCAGTGTAGGTACCCGTCTTCTTATTTGTAGGATGGACGCCAGAGACGTCGAACCTGTTGATCAGAGCAAAAATCTATAGTAATATACTGCATGATTAAGTTTGATTTTCCCATGTTCCGTGGACAACCTTCCTACTTTACATTTGAGTAAAATTTGTTGTTGTTATTAATTTGTATTAATATTACGTTTTTTTATTAAACGAAATTTTAGTTTTAGAAGTAGCCCTTATCCTTGAAAACTAAGCCGAATAATTAAAATACGTGACTGTAATATTTGTTTAAATGTGCACTGTTATTTTTACACATGAAATATACTGTACAACTCAAAATAGGTCTGATAGTTCACATATCAGTCCATATTTTACCTCGCAGACTGTACTCCGAATGGGGCTCCTTTGAACTTCTTTTCCGCCATTATCGTTTCCTTACCGCAGCTAATGGTGATGAATGATTAAACATCAGAAGTGCAAACAGCCGGAAGGCCTCTTTGAGGACTGGAGTGACCATGGCAACAAGCGACGCTCATTGCTCTTCTTTAATATGTAAAGCGTGGTCCAGGCAACAGCAGAGTAGGGGATAAACACACAGGCTTACCAAATTACGTTATTACTATATACCTTTGTCATAGTAATTAATTATAAAAAGTCACCGTTTTTAGCTGTTGCGGACATTCTGCAAGCGGACTTTTTCTAGTATTTGTATTTTGTATATAAATTATATAATATATATATATGGATGCGTGTTGCATTACTATTGTTCAACTACTATTAATAATAATGTAACAGTGTAATTTAAGGTGTTGTTGTGAACAAGGGCGTCAGTCAAATAATCAGTCATTTTTTCATGTTATAACGGTAATGATTAAAGATGTTACGTGCACATTTCTTATTAAAGAATGCAGTTTTTATGCTTCTAGTCATTTTAAAGTTTATTCTTTTAATTTACTTTTTATAGCTGTTCAAATGAGTTCTGAAATGCAGTCTCAATAGGTTCTAATCTATATATATTGTACAGTACCTGCAACTTAACAGTAGTGTCAATATTGCATTCTAAATTCATTATTAAATTCAATCCGGAATCACCTTGTAAAACCGCCAGGAGGAGCAAATAAAACTTGTACAGCATTTGAGCTTTTAAATTTAAACTGTGTATCACAGCATGTTAATCATCAGTCATTAAAAAGTTGGTATATTTTATGAAAACAAGATTGCTCAGTTGGGCAAAAGTACACAACCTACCTTGCAGAAATATTTTATGCATCAAAGCCTTTACTGAAGATATTACTCATAGTATTAATAATGACCCAGTGGGCAAAAGACGTATAATATACGTCTATTAAACGCATACCTTAGACATCTAAGGAATTAGGCCGCAATTCGTCTAGAATGAAATTTTAATATATGTCTATTGTTATACGTCAATTATACGTCTATGATTTGATGCTCATTATAC